TTCTATATATTAAATACTTAATGGATATTGATATTTTGTGTAGCTTGTTGGAAAATTTTCTAGAATTAGATGTTTATGTAAGCTGTAATTTCATGAGTAGGATATTAAAGATCAAAATTTTCAGTTGCTTTAATGATTAAACATTTGACTATAAAACTAAATGTATATAAAAGTGAAGCAAATTCTCAAATTTCCATTGTACATTTTGTGCATAAATAGTTATGGAAAATAAGATACAACTAAGTATAATTTGTCCATAATTAAAACTTTGCAAAAGTTGTAAACACCAGTAACAGGAGTTGGATATACAATACTCCTTGTAACAACCAAAACAGCCTTGATATTAAGTGCATGCATCACAGGAAAGACAACTGATACCCTAAAACAAGGTACAAACATAGAAATGAAAGGTGTAAATTTTTTGCATGCCAAGAGCAAAAATCCAATACAAATTATCTGAACTTGTTGCTATTGCAAGAAGCAGGTAACTTGAGTGAGGGAGTGGTGTATGAATCTGCGGGATGAATCGAAGCATTAAAGTTCAGCAAAAACAGATGATGATATTGCATGGATTAAATGTTTCATTCAAGTTGATCAGTAGTGCAAATTTCATGACTGTCGAACATTGATGTTCATGATGGTCTATGAAATTATTGTTTTGTCAAATCTTGAAACATTTGACTGAAGAACACAAATTCAAGTGCATCAACATTTCTTTTCAGATCTTGGAATAGTATAGTAGAACTGATGCGGTCTTTTGGGAATATATAATCATGGATCACAAGACCAGTGTGTATTATCTTACCTTGCAGAGAAAAGTTGATTCCATGGCCTGGAAACATCCCTTGTCACTCTTCTTAAATACACATCCTGAAGTACAGCAGTTAACAAAGAAATTGATAGCAATTGTATTCTTTGATGCAATGAATGTGCTGTTCATAGACTTCATAGCACATGGTCAAAAAGTTAATAGTCTGTAAAACACTTGATAGAGAGAAGTTGTTTGTCAAGTGATAGTTAAAGTTGTTTAAGGATAAATGACAATGCCATTCCACATTGTACCAATTGGACAAGAGTGGCTTCAATGATATTGTTGTATTGTTCTATCAAATCTAGATATCAAGAAGCACTATAAAGAAAACTCAATAGACAATTTTCTGCCAAAATATCTGTTTACTTGGAAAATAATGAAAACAATGAAAAAAGGTAAAGGAGAAAAAAAAGGAAAAGATGGCTCAATTCTTGTGATTTGAAGAAAAATCTTTTTACAATTCACAATAAAATCTCAAGTTAAAAATAGTTACATTAGAATCTTTTACACAAAATTAATAAATCTTGTCTAGTCTATCATTTATTTCGGTCCATGAAATGGGAAGGTAATTATTGCAAAAAACAAATTGCTAAAACTCCATATTGTGTGGGCAGATAGAAAAAGGATTTCAGATATTGTCAATTTGTTGAAGAAATTTTGTTGGTGGCATAGCCAGTATGAACTAAGAATTGTTGTAAGAGGTTTTTCAACCAATAGTCATATTAGAACCAGGGAATAGGGGTTGGGTGAATGAATCAAATTTGGAGAAGCCTTAAAAATCATAATTTTGATAGTAAAATAATCCCAGTTCAGTCATGCAAGAATACATCAATATAAACTAGAAAATTGCCATGGAAATATGCTGCAAATTGACATCATCATCAATGTTTACCACTCTCTCATGCCAGAAAAGAATTGATTAAGTGAAAGTTTGTTTTTTTTTTACTTAAATTGTATAAAACTGATGATTTTCATTTGAAGACTGATGATTGAATGAAAAAATGGTAAATCAAATTTTAGTGCTGATCAAGTTTGAAGCATAGTTGCTGTTTTTGCAAACTCATCAACCAGCCACAGTGCTACAGGAATTTGCAAGAGTTAAGCTAATAGCTCTAACCCTCAACAAATAAACCATGTTATTGATTCTACAAACAAGAGTTGGTTATCTGTCCTGAATTTTTTTCTTTTAAATTCTCTCTCTCTCATTTTGTGTGTCTTTTAGTGCTAACATGTTATAAAATTTTTTGTCACTTTCTCAAAAACTTTGATTTATCAACAGCTATAAATAATGCACCTTTATAATTTCATGGAAGCTGGAAAAAATTTTAAATGAGATTTTTTGTTTTCCATGTTGATATTCTATTAGTTATCAGTAATCTACTGCTAAATCCTTCAGCTGTTCAAAAGAAAAAAAATATTTTTCATATGCATTTTTACACTTATTTTATCTTTAGACTTTACTAATCTCATAAGACTGACATATTGGTTAACATTCATTTGAGTGTATAATAATAATACAATTTTCATAGAAACTTAAGTTTTTTATAGCCAATTGTTATGTTGTTATCATCACAGGTTTTTTTACATTTTAAAAAAAAAATGAAATCTACCACCAATAATCTTTACTTTTTTATGAATGTTAAAGTTTGGAATATTTATTTGAAAGGAATGATGTAAGAGTTGCTTTATTTTCACCTTTAGTGTTGCTCTATCCTGACTAGTTTTGCTTTATCCCTTAAGTTTTAGAAAATTAAACTTCAACTATTGAGGTTTAGTAACAGTTCCTGTTTTGTCTGACTTGGCCCTAATGAAAATGAACAGGATGAATTTTTATTTTTCACTGTTAACTTGCTCTGGTTAAGCCAATAAGGAGATAATTTTCTGCTGTTGATGCCCAGTTTAAGGTATAAAAAAAAGGAAAACTAAACCTGTTTGAAAGACTTGGGCAGTAAAAGATTGTAAATAAAAGATGCTAGAGACTGAAAATCTTTAAGTTAAACTTTACATATAAACATAAAATTATTTAGTAAACCCTAAGAAAGCAATACGAGATATGATGACCAATCCACAAAAATGAGTAATTAACCAACATCTAATTTGAAGAACATCCAAAATATTTTCAAACATGAAGGTGATATGAAGAACTGGATGTACTAATAATCAATAAAAGATTTAGAAATGCAGTCCTACTAAAACATGGCCACATGACAATTGTGAGAGCAATCTCCTTTCAGTCATGCAAATTAAAGGAGCCTAAAGCAATACCTGAACTACAATACAATACTCCAGAATGACTCTGTTTGATATCAACAAAAGATCTCATCCCAAGGAAGAAGAGACAAGATAAAGAGTGGATGACGAATGAAACTTTCAAACTAATGAAAGAGACAGCAGATAATGCCAAGAAATAGCAGAAAATATTGGGAGGGGGATATTCTCTCTCTCTCTCTCTCGAGATATATAGTGAGAGATAGATTATAAATAGTTGCTAACAAGCAAGTGTGTAGAAATAAAAAGAAAAACTACAGAACTTAAACATAGAAAGTATTCATAAAAGAAATAACAGGACACAAAAATATTTCAAAATTCTAAAATGAGAACCATCTTAGGTTCTCATTTTAGAATTTTGAAATATTTTTGTGAAAAGATGGCAAAGATAGAAAAACCTCTTCCATGACAGTATACAAGAAAAACCTACAATACATGAAAATGTGGAAGGACCTGTGCTATTAAAACCTTAGGTAAGATTAGCACTGGCCAAGATGAACAAGAAAAAAGGACCAGATGGGATTATAATAGATGATATCAGCCTTTAACATTTTTGGGTTTTATCAGATTGCTGAAATAATAAATGAAATAACAAAATACTTGGAGACCTTAGTAAATCTATCTTCATAGTGATGCCAAAGAAGTCAGTTGCAAGTAAAAGTGAACTTCATGAGCCACATGAATGGATTTATAATTAAGATTCTAATGGATAGCAGAATTGTCTAAATAGGATAAGAACTGTATGGCTTTGTTCAAGATACTGAAACAAGAAATGTTATTTTTATGGTCTGAATGCTATTAGGGCATGCAATACAAAAACTGGAAGACCAATACCTACATTTCATAGATTACACAAAAGCATTTGATAAGGTTTGACACAAAGACCTGTTTTAAATACTAGGTAAGTTTTATTTATATAAGAAAGATCTTTGAGTAATCTGTAACTTTTAACAGAAACAAACAGTGTGCATTCAGTGAATACACCAAAATTGAGGAGTTAGACTAGTATGAGTTTTTTCACCAGGTTTATTTTGCAATTTCTTTTTTTAATATACAACATCCTGCCTTCATCAGCCACCAACCAGGGGTAATATCACGGTTTCGGTGGCTATGGCACCACATTCATATACAAGAGGATGTTAAGAGAAAGAGATGAACTACCAGGATTTACTATTGGCAAACATAATCTTAACAAGATACACAGCAGATACTATGTTGATGGCATACTCAGAAATGGTAGTAAAGAAAAAAGGACTTGCTGTTAAATATAAGAAGCAAGAATGCAAAGTTATCAACAAAAATGCAGTCAAAGATGTGATCTCTTTGGATATCAAAATCAGGCAGGTACAGGAGTTTAACTATATGGTTAGTGTTGTAACAGTTGACTGAAAATGTAACTTAGTAATCTGAAGGCACATATGAATAACAAGATACCTTCTAGAAACTAAGCAAAGTATTAAAATATAGGAAAATGTTAGCTCAGCACTATTTTCTTTGTTATATTTAATTTCCTCACAACTGAAGATATTTTAAGTAACAGATGTGGCTGTACCAGTGAATGCTAAATATACCATGGACAGAACATATGAACAACAAGAATGTCTTAAAGGGAATAGGAACTACAACAAAGTTTCTATTTACAATCAGAAAGCAACTGTTGAAATTTTTGGGTATGTAATGGGGGAAAGAGGGCTTGGTGAATTTAACATTTAATACAGGATGTTAAAGATAAGAGGTGCAGGAGGAAATGGCAAGTGACCTACTTAACAAGTTTGTGAATGCATGGTAGACAAAAATGGATGGTAAAGGATCAAAAGTTACTTAGACCAATAAAAGAAAGTTATGAAGAACAGATTATCCATATCTTGAAGTGAAATTGTACATCAGAGAAATAATATGATCTACATATATTGGAGTATGAATGCTTTCTCACTGCTTTTTAGAACATTTGAAAGATTCCTTACTCATGAAATTTCTTTTGAAATTTTGTCTTTTGTAATTATTTTATTTTCATTGTTTTATATTCAAATAAATTCATGTAAGTTTACTGATTCTTTTACCATTAACCCTCCCACCTGAAAAACATTTTTCTTTATGGTTTTTAGCAAATGGATCTGGTTTTAAGTTCATACTTTTCAACTATTTTTCCTGTGTAAAATCTTTTTTTTGTTGAGAGCTTTTAGCAAAACAAGTATCCTGTCAATTTAGAAATATTTCATTAACAAATATTTGACAGGAGTAACTTGCATTTAAAATAGGGGTTCTCCAATTTTTCCCCCAAAAATATTTACACAACTAGAAAACTGATACCCTTAAACCTTTCAGTTTTTCCCATTTTCTATTCAAAATGCCATGGTTGCTTCTATTTGCAATACAAATCTGGTTGACAGGGCAAATTGTCTATTGATAAAAATCTGATCTCCAATTTAACAAACATGATGCATGACTATTTGAATGACAGACTCAAATCTTTGTCAAATGGATCAGATAACTGTAATGCTTAATCTTTATTTTAAAATTTTTTTTAAAAACATTATTTTCTCTTCTCCACTTTAATTTCACAGTATTAAGTAAAAGTTTAGGGTTAGTGTAGGAGGGAACATAATTCTGATTGCTGTTAATTGTTTGCAGAATAAAATTGTGATCTTTGCAAATTCATTTGATGGACAAATTGACCTGACAAGTTATTTCTGCTGTCATCTTTCCCAGCCCAACTCTAGTGTTGGGAGGGGGAGATTAAGTGTGTACTGGCTGTGACCTCCACAATAGTCTGACAGGTGATCAGACCCAAGCCCCACACTAATTAATTACTTTTTACTTTGGCTACTGAAAATCCTTTCTGTCTCTGCCAATTCTAATGATTCTTTCACAAGGACTCTCTCTCTCTCTCTCTCTCTCTCTCTCTCTCTCTCTCTCTCTCTCTCTCTCTCTCTCTCTCTCTCTCTCTCTCTCTCTCTCTCTCTCTCTCTCTCTCACTCACACATTTTAATACATATGTATAATGGAAAATAGACTTTAAAGATACATACGTACATACCTGTTTATAAAAATATACTCTTACTTTGAGTGTACCACTGCTACAATCTGCAGATATTGAACCAAAGTAATTGAAAATATGTTGCTGCAAGATTTAATAAAGTTTGAAATCAGTTGTTGTAGTAACACATTCACTGCCAGACAATACAAACATACATGTTGTGGTATGTTATGTATTTCCTATAACACACACATGGTTTTATTTACAACATAAATAACTATGGCAATGTACTAGATTTATTTTCTGCCTTGCAGCACTGAGCAGATGTGCTTATTTGTTGTGCTCTATATTACACTATCTAAGGTAGCAGTCAATCTGTTATGGGTGGGGTTTTCTTATATATATGTGTGTGTGTGTGTGTATGTTTAGAAATCTTTGAAATTTAGTTGGTGGGTAAGCTTCTTTTTTTTTTTTTTTCTTGAAGTAATGACAAGTGACAGTTAAATCCTGTTATTTTTCTTACAGTCAAACTGCCTGAACTTCCTATAATTATTTTTTAAGTGCCACTAATTCTGATAGTTCCTTTATTCCTTCTCCATGATGTTTCATTTTGGAGTGTGTGGTGGGGACTACATGAAGCATTGTTTTTTTTTTTTCTCTCTAAATCAGTGAAAATTATCACAAAAATATGAATCCATTTTAGCCCATTTTGAAACTGAAATAACCAATCATGAAGTTTCTATTTTCAGTTGTCAATCCTATTTTAATTTTAATTTTTGAGAGGAGGAATAATATAATTTTTCTTGTATTTTTTCTGCAAATTTAATTTTCCATTTCAACCCTATGCAATCACGTGAAAACAATGAAATATTAAAGTTTCAAAATGATCACTGCTATATACAAATATATGCTAACAAAAAAATTCTAAATATGGCATTAAATCAAATAAGTTCTTTGTTTCCATTAAATTTTAAGTTTGCCACTGAAGATCAACTTTCAAAAATGGATGTATGCAGTTTTTCATTAAAAATCACACAAGGTTTGTTTTAATATTTTACTTAATTTTATATGCATGTGTACAAGATAAGTTAATACAAATAATCATTGTTTTAATGAAACAATGGAAAATCTCCCACACACACATGCGTCAAATATCTATTAGTTTAGTACAATAGAACCACAGCCTTATCATTAATTTAAAAAATGGTAAATAGAATGATTTTTCCTGTGTAATTAGAAAAATGACTGAGATGCAAGAATATTCAAAATTTATGCTGAAATACATTAAAATGGTAAAGT